AGGATAACACGGAGAATAAGAGAATGAAACTTTCGTTGTCGCGCAACTTTTTTCCGATAAGGCGAAACATTTGTTGCGGAGTTACGGTGGATAAGATTGGGTTGTTACTGAATGATGCGGAATCTCCTGAAACGTGGCCGGAAATACGAATGGAGACTGGAAATCAAATTAAGATGAATTCCCTCGAGAAAGCGGCAAAAAGAAAGGCTAGAGCGTTGACTAGACCTTCTCTTCGCCACCACCTTAGACTGACTCCAAACGTTGCTATGACTGCGTTCGATGTTAGTCCGAGCAACGGCTTGGAGCCAGTCTACTATTACCTAATATATTTATAATCGTAGTCGCAATTTAATCGGCTTCTACCAGTGATGTCCATGCCGCAAACACTGGGAGCCATTGGGAGTCTGTACTTGCTGGGACGTACAGGGGGTGGCCTGCTCTTTGTAGGCAGTAAAAGAGAAAGAGGAGAAGATTAGAGAGAGAGGGTGAGAGAAAATGAGAGGAGGGAGAGGAAGAGAGGGCGAAGACGGGATGTGATACCGAGAGAGATAGAGTAAGGGGGCAGGAAGGGTCACGAAACAAAGAGGATTGTACACGCATGGAGACACGCACACACACACACACACACACGCGAACGCACGTATCGCACGCGCTCCACCCCGCACGCACGCAGCACGACACTACTCTCTCACCATCGTAGACTGACGTACCATGCTGCCTATTAATGCTGGAGCTTGCCCTCCGAGCTCCAGCGGTGCCGGTCTATGTCTCGCCCGGCACCTATACTTGCCAACGTCGCTCCACTCAACCCGATTCAGCTCGAGCGCGCCAGATGGCAGCACGAGCATGCGGGACCTGTCCAGGTTGAGGGGCTGGTCGTTCTTGTACCAGGCTATGTGCGCGGTCGGTATGGCCTGGATGTAGCAGGGGAAGCGCGCTGTCTGTCCCAGCATGACACTCACATCCTCCGGTTGGCTGTCAAACTTTGGTAGCACTGTGGAAGAAAGCAGTAGTTGTAGAAGCACAGACGACGGACAGACCATAGCTACCAGCAGTAAGCAAACCTGTGTTAGTGAGTCAGCTCTACAGAATGTACACCTGTACAAAGCGACGACTGTCAGAACTATCCTAGCGCGGGCAACATTATGTGCACATCTCTCTATATAACGGACACCTGTCTATAAAGGACACTGTCAGAACTATCGCTGCAGGCAGACATATCGTCACACTCTCTCTATATAACGGACACCTGTCTATAAAGGACACTGTGCAGAAACTATCGCTGCGGGCACACATATCGTGACACTCTCTCTATATAACAGACACCTGTCTATAAAGGACAATGTCAGAACTATCGCTGCAGGGCAGACATATCGTGACACTCTCTCTATATAACGGACACCTGTTCTACTATAAAGACACTGTCAGAACTATCGCTGCAGGGCACGACATATCGTGACACTCTCTCTATATAACAGACACCTGTCTATAAAGGACAATGTTCAGAACTCATCGCTGCGGGGCAGCATATCGTGACACTCTTCTATATTAACGGACACCTGTCTATAAAGGACACTGTCAGAACTATCGCTGCAGGGCAGACATATCGTGACACTCTCTCTATATAACGGACACCTGTCTACTATAAAGGACACTGTCAGAACTATCGCTGCAGGGCAGACATATCGTGACACTCTCTCTATATAACAGACACCTGTCTATAAAGGACACTGTCAGAACTATCGCTGCGGGGCAGACATATGTCGCTGAACTCTCTCTATATAACGGACACCTGTCTATAAAGGACACTGTACAGAACTATCGCTGCAGGGCACACATATCGTGACACTCTCTCATATATAACAGACACCTGTCTATAAAGGACACTGTCAGAACTATTCGCTGCGGGGCAGACATATCATGACACTCTCTCTATATAACGGGACACCTGTCTACTATAAAGGACACTGTCAGAACTATCGCTGCGGGGAGACATATCGTGACACTTCTATATAACGGACACCTGTCTACTATAAAGGACACTGTCAGAACTATCGCTGCAGGGCGACATATCGTGCACTCTCTCTATATAACAGACACCTGTTCTATAAAGGACACTGTCAGAACTATCGCTGCGGGGCAGACATATCATGAAAAACCCCTCAATAGAACAGAGACTCATCGATAAGGCGTACTTTTCTATATATCAATATATATATATATTACCTATATATTATTATATTACTTTCATTTATATATACTATATATATTATATATATATATATATATATATACCTATATATAATATATATATATATATATATATATACACAACATTTAACTCCTATGCAGGGTCAATATTATGCACATGTATGTCAGCTCGACCGGAGACGCATGCGTCAGCAACATAATGAGAATCTTCGTCGCCGGTATCAGCTGATAGCGGCTGATAGTGGCTCCAGCCTCCGCGCTTCAGTTTTCACGTCCCGAACAGTCGCCTAACAAGCCGTAACCGTGGCGACGACATCATTTATCGCCGCGGATCACCGTCACATCGATCTCGCCGGTCAATAATTTATCATTACGGACACGCGTTCGCCCCGCGCGCCGGTCATTAACGGATGACCGCGACGCTCAGCCTCCGATCGAATCTCGATCTGCGGATTCGGAGAAGATATGCTCGGAATCCAGATTTTCGAGAAAAACGATGCTGGCTTCGTCATGATTACTCGCGGTGAGCAATTACCGGTGAACGTGTTTGGACTTGCAAGTTCGCGCGGAGCTGGCAGATGATCGCCATTAGCGGATTTTTTTAGCAATCGAATTTTTTCACAGCAATTTTACAATCGATCAATTATCACTTTCGACTGATCGATGATCAAAGATGATCGAATGTAATCGTTTGATATTGCTGATTGCTAATTCTGTATATTGGGATGACATGAGTCATGACCCATTCACTTTTTTAAATCATGAAGCAACAATCTCGCCAGCTAAACACTCCAAAAAATTTATTTCAATCAACATTCACGCTTTGTCCGAATATGTTAACTAAAACATGCAACCTGCTTGGCCAGTGTTCAATACCGAAGTCGAATATTGTGACTCGTCACACCCTCGATCACTCCTCCCTCAATATTAACTCCGCTCTCACCTCGTCACTCAATTCCACTCGCCCCGTGCACCAAAACCCTCTGGCTCATCTCGCTTCCTCATCAACAACGATCACTACGATCATACAGGAGCAAGCACATCAGCACTACACAATACATATATTTACCTCATTATTATATATAGTACCATGACTGACATGACATAGAATCTGGGACAATGTCTTGGGCCCGGTACTCATTGTCCGGCCGCGACTTACTAGCTTATGCCGCGCACACTATCGGCGCTCTCACATTTCTGTTCATCTCCTCCAGTATTTCTCTCTACTCACCTCTCAGCATCGCTTATATGTTCTCTGCGATCACACTCTCAATCTCTCTCTTCACATAATTCGGGCACCGCTAGTCGCGCTTGTGCTCTGCACGCAATTGTTTCCTGCTCTAGATCACTCTCCCTCCAACTACTTATCACGGGAGCCGCACTGTCAGCTATACAGGGCGCGCTCGCTGTGCTGTACGATGTCCAAGTGGGAACCCGCTTTCTACTCGACCCCGCTCGCTACACATCTGCTGTACACTCCTCATAGATACGGCCGATCTCTCTCGTGATACTCGTGGATACCCGTGTGAAGTACATGTCTAAGACGCTTCGGGCGCCTCTCACTCTCACCATAATAGCATAAATGAATCACTTCAATATATAACTCTCTACTCAAGTAATTCATCATTAAATTGATCACACTCACTCACACTCACAATAGTAGTCTCAATAACTCTGCATGCTCTATATTCTGATCATTCACTTAGCTCCAACTCTCTAGTCGTCTCTTCTATTACCATTACTCTCTCTCTGTAACTTACTCTCGCTGACTTCACAGTCACACATACGGTAGACACACTACAGGCGCGCACCGACACACACTCGTGCTAGCCGTTTCATCTGCGACTCACGCTGCACACGCCGCCGTAACCACTCGCTCGGCTCCACCACGCGCGCTCAGGGTCTCACTACGCGCTCGCTCCACTCACTCATATAATAATAGTAACGCTCTCATGTCCCTGATCTCGACCGAGATCTCGCGCGATCCTCTTTATCTATTATGGACTCGAATAAAGGGAACCTAGCATAGTACTAGCTTATTGGTGTGGGCCCGATACGTGCTCAAACTGACCTCGCCGCATCACTCGGGGATAGATTTCCTAACACCAAAACATTGTAGTGGCATCTGCGCGCGTTTTATCACAATGCCGACATACTCTCGCGATTTTATACTCGCATCACACACCTCTCACGCCCAGT